TGTTCCCACACAGACAGTAGTCATGAGTCATTTTGCCAAATGACAAATCTAAAGAGAAAAGGACACTTCTGAGAAACACTGAAAACCAAGCTCAGAGAGGCGAACAAACCTCAGTGCTGTGAAATCCTTCCATGGATGATGTGGAATGAGCTTTTGTACATAGCCAGGATTAAACAGACCCTAGAAAGAGTTTCTGTCTCCAAGCTGGAGCACCCCAGTGAACTCTTACTACGAACAAAGCCTCACAATATTACAGGCAACAAAACAACCTTGGCAGCTTCAGCTGCTCCACAACCAGTTGTGTCTGCTCCTTTTGCAAAACAAAAAAATGGGAGGAAGACTGGGAGGATGTCTACCACAAGCAGGTACAGCCATCCCCTGCCCTCCTGGCAGCAGTGAGAGCAGCAAGAAGACTCTCCACAATGCTCTCGCCTGTCTCTACTTCATGTTCCTTCTGCATCTAGTTTTACTTTCTCCCAGGAGGCAATTTTTTTTTTTTTTTTTTTTTTTGGGCAGCATAGCCAAGCAGCCTTGAGCTTGCTTTGCAAAGCCACAGTGGAATTCCAAAGGAAGGCATAAGTCTGAGATTTCTGTTAGCTTTGGCTCAGGGATAAGTCTCACCTAAAGCCTCCAGATGGCCAGTTTCTGCATTCATTGGACTACTGCAGGCTGAGATAGCACGTCCAAATATATATCCCAAAGCAGGAGTTGGCCAAACAGAAAACAAGTTCAGTTCATGCACCAGCAGAGATCAGATCACATTCTTAACTACGTCTGTGTGACACGAACATTCCTGTGGAAAGCATTCTGTGCCTGGAAAGGAAAGGGCTGCAGCAGATACCCCACTTCTACCTGGACATCTCTGAGGCCACTGTCTCGCATTGCTCCAAAAATCACAGATTTGTCCCCTCAGYGTGCCAGCTCTTGGCAGACCTACCTTGTAAATATGCAAACATAATGTGACACTGACAGCTGCTCTGCATGGACATATCTGAGAGCCCTGTTACTATTCTCCTTCTCAGCTGTAGCAGGGAGGTCTTAAGAACAGTTTCAGTAGTGTTGGTGGGCACAAGCTCAGCCAAGAGCCTCCAGATGGACTCTACTTCCCCACGCCACTGACAGAGTAACTATGTCTATTAATGTGTCAGCAATTAGTGCATTACAAAAACCCCAAATAATTTAATGATTTGTTTAGCAGCAACTAGAACAACAAAGAAACCCAAACCAAACCAAAAAMCCCAAGAAATGGGAAAAATGTTGTAGTGGTTTGTAACTTAATTTGTAGRTCACCTGTTGTTTTCCACTAGAGGAGAGAATACTTTGAGAAATTACATATATGGGTGGTCYAGCCTTTATGAATATGACTTATTTTTGGGACACATTGTGAAATGTTTTCTTTTGAACTTAATTTCTCAAATATTTCTTTACCACATAGACATAGACCATAGACTGCAACTTCTGCATCCCTGCATCAGTGATGCACCAGTGAGCCATATACTTTGTAAGGATATTTGCAACTGGGAGTATGAGCTCTCCTGGTAAGAGCAGATTCATAGCTCTGGGTTTCTGCTGGGAGAGAAAGACTTGAATAGTACTTGTCTTTGAGCTGGAAATAAGAAGCTACAAAATCAAGGGTCTTTGGGAAAAGTCCGAAAAAATATAGCAAATGTTAAGAATCCAGGTCATCAGTACTAGTAACTCATTGCCTGGACTTAAGCTGGTCTCTGCCAGCACACCCACACAGGTCTCACCTGAAATGAGCTTAGTGGTCCCTACATATATGGGAACAAACACAAAGATATCCAATAAGACAACCATAAAATTTACCTGACAAAATTTACAACAACTGGCAGGAGACATCTGGCTGCTGGCTGAACGATAAATGGCAAACCACCAATATCCTTCATGCCWAGCTTCACCCATCTTTGTTTATTGTTTATGGGGCAGCAGACAACAATCATCCTGCACAGGATAGTATTAATTTCTTTGTCCAGAAACAGARTAATTTTCTCTTCAATTTTGGCAATGTAAAGTTCAAGGATAAAGGACTGGAAATGCTGTCAGGAGATGATGCATTTGGACAATGAAGATTTTAACAGGTACTTGTGTGCTGGGCTTCTTCACTCTTCAAGCTCCACTCATCATATAAAGGATAGACAACAACCTTCCACAAAGCTGCTTTGAGACTCAGGGAGATGAGACTGGATRGCTTTTACAAAAGATGGCAAATGAAAACTAAGGAATTACAGACAGAGAACTGTTACCTACTAAAATTGGGTCAGATACATGAAATATGAAAAAAGAACAGGAAGGGAAATACTCTACAAGGACCTGTCTACTTACAGAGGTTACACTTTTATCTGTATTTTACGCCAACATACGGTATTGTGGTACCTTTTTCCTTACATTTGGATGGCTTATGTGTCACTCCTCATTGTTTCAAAACAATGGTGAGAAAATGGGGRAAAATAYGTTGTTAGTAAAAATTTCTAAGCGTTTCCAGGAATGTTCGCCTTTCCTGAAGGGAAAAGTTCCTGCTACTATTTCAGTAACCCATCCTGTCATACTGTCAGCTTGTTTGCTCTCTTTTTTGGAGAAGCATTTTAGAACTAGCACTAAAATCCTCTTTAGCTCAAGGACAAGCTGTACAGCGTAAAACTGTAACTGGTGCCTACTTACACCATTGGTCCATGCTTCTTTTTCAACAATGATAAAACAGATGGSATTTGGGATGCACTTGAGCAAGGACACATTCTTCTCCCCTTTACCCTTGTTGGGGCTGCTAGAGGGGACTTCCTTGCCTGTTATCTCTAGTATTCTCAGATGTGTCTCATCCCTTTCTGTTATGTGGAAACATCGACAGCAAGTTCCAGAAGTTTGATGCCTAATGAAAAAAGAAACCTTTCCCTTCACTAACTTTAAGCTGATCCTCTACTAATTTGATCAAGTAGCACAGGCCCAGGGTTCCTTACTCAATGTATCCACCATATTCCTTTTATCACAAAACTATATTTTCCAAACTAAACAGTCCCAGATATCCAATCTCTTTTCCTAAGGCAGCTGCTCTACCCTCTTGAACATTGTAGCTGCCCTTTTCTGTAGCTGCCCTCTTTTATCTTCACTAAATCCTCCTTGAGGTGAAAGACCAGGATTTCACACGATACTCAAAGTGAAGACACATGAGATTTCAAATAGCAGAAATTAAAGCATCTTCTGTTCTCAGCATCCATCCTGATGATGCCCAAGATTTTTTGGGCTTATTTGTCCATGCTACACACTAAGTTGATTTTGGCAACAGCAACTCCAAGATCATTTTCCTGAGTTGTAAACCACTTTCTAGTTCAGCACCGTGTAAGCATGATTTAGATTATTAAATTACTAGTGCAAATACAGAACACAAGCACAYCTTGATATCATGCCTAACATTAAAATGCAAACTAGGCCTTTTTCTAGTTCTTGGAATATGTATTTATTCCATTCTTTGAAAACCTTTACTGCCTACAATATGGTAACAGTTTTCAGGGGAGAAAGTTTACAAAGTATCTTAGAAAACTCAGTGTTGTAGCCTTTTCTTGATTGTGTGAAGCATAGGGCATTACTATTAAAAGAGGTCTGCTCACTTTTCAAGACTAAAATCTAAAGTAGACATCCTTCTAAGCTTGGTGATCTCTTAGTCGTATTTTTTTATTGCTATCTGTATAAAGTTTATAAATTGTTTATAAAATTAACCTTATTAATTTCTTGAGAATTGACTGCATTAGGCATGGCACTTCTTGTAACACATGAGCTGTCACCCACACCATTTATAAATGAGTTATATTCTATATAACTGCTTCCAAAGATATTCCATCCAAATATTGGACCTTATAGCTAAGATTGCCAGATAATTTTAAAGGATCAGGGTGAAACCAAAGCAGACCATAGAATGAAATTTCCTTATGCATTGAAGATTTCTGTCAAAGTGTATAATGGGTTCCACTTTTAAACTCTGGTGTTGGAGAAAATCCCACCTATTGTAAACTGGAGTAATATATTTGGGTTGCAGATATTTTTAGTGGTTCACTGTACTACATATGTGTATGGAAATCACATGCCTCAGATTTTGCTCTACATAGGCTTGACTGTTTTGCTAAATCTGCTCCTTGTTTTCTATCAGGATGTTTTGGAAGTGGACAAGACAGCAGTCCCGATGATTGCTGCAAAAACAGCACTTGCCAGACAGAGGATCTGATGCTTATGGATTTGTGCCAAAAACAATTGACCTGGTTGTTCTGACTGGGTAAATACAAGTATATCACTTGTAAGGGTCTGAGAGAAGTGCATTCATGCCTGGTTCTAAAATTCTGTTCATTGATACTTTTGCTAAAGGGGATGAAAAATAAACACACAGAATAGTCACTGGAAAAAAAAAAAAAAAAAAAAAAAAAAAAAAAAAAAAAAAAAAAAAAAACCACAACCAAAAATACAACAAACCAAAAACACTGGATGCTTGTTCTACACTGTGCAAACTGCTGGAATATTCTTGGTTCTTGCCCTTTACATGATTTTGGTCTACTGAAATCTGTTTGAAAGTGCTGTTCAGACTGGAGAGATTACCCACTTTAAATCAGCACAGTTCTTTCACAGCCCCCGCCAGAAAAACATCTAATAATTTTAAGGTTGTTATTTCCATTCCTACCTCCTTCTCACATAACAGCTTGCCTCTTACCTTCCCTGGGCAGCCTGTTCCAGTGCCTGACAACCCTTTTGGTGAAGAGATCTTTCCTAACCTCCAATCCAAACCTCCTCTGTTGCAACTTGAGGCCATTTCCTCTTGTCCTGTATCTTGTCGCTTTCATGAAGAGACCAACCCCCACTGGCCACATCTCCTTTCAGGCAGTTGTAGTGAGAGATAAGGTCTCCCCCGATTCTCCCCTTCTCTAGGCTGAATACCCCCAGCTCCCTCATAGGACTTGTGCTCTACATCTCCACCAGATCATTCTGACTCCCCATACCTCTTAACATGGATGGAAGATTTCACAGGGGTCTCCAGTGGTTTTATCCAGCACAGCAGAGCCTGTGGGAGCACCTTTGTGGTGAGAGRAAAGTGCAGGTCTTTTAAGTTAGGATGTGATGCTGCTGGGAATCCAGAAGGTCATGTTCTATAACTGGAAACAAATTTCAAAAGCAGACTGATTCTTGTTTGATGTTTTCAGACATGTCAGCTTAAAGTTAATCAAGCAAAGTAATTTTTTCTAGTCCTCTGAGTTTTGAGCTAATGTGTTTTGCTGGCTAAAGGATTTGATATTAGCCCTACTGTAAACAGCCATGAAATCTGAGATGTCTTTTGTCTCCTTGTGATTCATGCAGAGACCTGTAGCATTTTAAGCCCAGCATCAGTATAGAAAATTGACTTGATCAAGACAAAAATCGTGTTTTAGTTATCAAAAATGAACAAGCTGTCAAAGAGCTGAGAAAAGCTGAAGAGTTAAAGAAACGATGTGCTAAAAGAAAGGCAAAGAACAAAACGTGATTGCCATTCTGTCTTGTGTAAGGAGAGAAAATGTGACTTTCTTGATGTCTATATCATCACCTGATGAGAAGCAGCCAACCTCAATGCTGCTTTCATAACAACATCAACCAAACTGATTCTGCGGGGAGCAAATCTGAGTATGAAAGCCCTGAAACACACTATGTGCAATTTCTTCTCACTTGGAACCTGGGACAAAGAGATCACCCAGTGCCAGCAGCAGAACAAGCATGAGTGAAAGGAAAAATATTTTGCTGCATATTCACATACTTCAAATGATTTTTTTCCCCCACATACAATTCATTTACAAGAAATGTAAACCTCCTCCCTCTTTCCCAGAAAATTAACATCTGTGTTCATTGCTTTCCACTTTCTCCGTTTTCAGGAAGAACCATAATCCAGCTACAGTCATAGCCCACTTTTAATTTCCAGAGCAGTGCAGAATTTTAGACCCTCACAGCATTCCTTCTAACACATCATCACTGCCCATGAGCACAGACCTACCATATTAGCCTGGCATTGCACTCTTGGCAGGAGGGGAGGAACAAGGAAGGGTGAGCAGGCCGTAGCTGTACCAATAAAAAAACCTAAAATATCCATCTCTCCTAGACTATGATGGGATAGTTATTTGTTTCTTCTGAGCTCAAGGATGTCTTTGTTCTGAATTTAAAATTTAGAAAACAGAATATCAGATGAGATCAGTTTAAGGAAAGAGTTAAAATCTTAAATGCCATCTGTAATTTAAATATCATGAAGGTAGATCTGTTATTCCCCTCTCTGCCCAGCCCCAAGCTAACATCTCAGAGTGGTTTCTATGGATTGCATCATGCCAGGTTACCTGGTTGCTATTGCTCCAGTTGCTGTTTTACTGGCAGACTGATGACCGTCAGATTGTGTTTCTACCCTGCACAACAATGAAAGYAGACAGTTTGTGGGAATAAACCACTGAGAAGGACAATGATAGGAAAATAGCTGTTTAAGCATTAAGCATCTCAATAGTTCCTGACTGGGAGCTGATTTTTAAAAATCTTATGAATGTGGGGAGACACATGCAAAATGTCGGAGCTATCCATTTATTATTCCAGCCTGCAAGTAGAAATGTTGGCCAGAAAATATCCTCTGATAGGAAAAACTTTTAAAGAACAGGCCTAAAAATTGCTGAGCCACTCCTGAGTAAGGGTCAAGTTCTGCTTCACCCAAAGAAATTTTGGAGGGGGCTGCAAAAGTGACTGCCACATGTGCTCCAGCTTAGATGTTACCCTGCAACCTTCTTTCTGTAGATGGTGGTTTCCTGCTGCAGGAAGTTACAGTTCTCCTTTGACTTCACCAAAATAAATCACCTCTTGTCCTTCACTTGCATTTTCAACATAACAGATGAGTTATAATCTTGTGGGTATTTTGCTTAACAAAATGGTACATAAAAATGCTCCCTTTTCATTAGGCTGCTTTATCTCCCATGCCATGTAAATRGCAGAAAGAAGAAAGCCCAGAAACTCACCAAAAACAGAGTAGAGTTTTTCTCTTCTCCATCTGTCATGCTCTGTAGTGAGACGGCAGCTGCTGCCTCACTGCTGGAGAGAACAAACCCTCTTGGTATGGGGAAATGCCATAAGGGACTGAAACACCTTCTTCTACCCCAGGTGTATGATTCCCACTTCTGTGTGTGCTTGGTTGGTTTTGTTTTAATTTCATATAGTCTCACAATCCATAAGTTTAAACTTAAGCTTCACATTCAGGTAATCCCCCAGAGCCAGAAAGAAACCTTATGGAAGATGCTAAGGCAGAACAACAAAGCATGGAGAATATAGGCACAAGATGTATCAAGTGGAGGTGCTAGACAAAAAAAGGACAAGACTGCTGGATTTCTGCTCTGTCCYCAGACTGCTCTCAGTGTGTTCTTATGAGGAGCTGATATCTTCATACTGCGTATATTCGGCAGGATGCAAGCATAAATGTTTGGCTTCCAAAAAGAGATACTAATTTTGAAATAGACATTTAGGTTAGGCAGTATGAGGCATGTATTGGTTTTATGGGGACACTAAGGAGACATTGGTCCCATTTTTAGATTTTTAAACTTTGATTAAGTGAATCCATCCTTAGGAGATCTGATATCTGTCCCATTACATCAGTGTACATACCTACAACCTGCCAGCACACTCTCAGGCCATCTCACACGAGGTTTTCAGATCACACATGAGGTATTTCAGTTCATACATTTATTTGAAGCGCCCTTCTCTGCAGCTGTCCACAGCCTTGTAAAGCCCAAATTAAATATTGCCTTGAGCCTGGCACAAAGCAGGTCATGATTTCAGCAAGTAAACTTACAGGGATTCACAAGATCAGGAGGAACTTTCACCAAGCTTATCACTGTTTCTGTAYACCCTAAATGCAATGGACTCCCAGATGCTGTGCTCCAAATCCTCCCTGTGCTRCACCTCCCACCGACAGCTCTTCCTGTGGCACGAGCAGCCAAGCCCTGTGGTGGAGGACATGAGGAAGGCAGGCAAGAAGAGCATCTGCTGCACATGGAGCCCTCAGCAAGGAGAATTTGGTGCATGAAATTACATTATTTCCTAAATACATGACATAATCATATCAGCATGTGTCCCACTGCAACAGCCTAATGCAGCTTTCACAGGTTTTAATGCTGCCAACACTGGATGCCGGTCTATGGTTGCTGTGATAAATAAACACCTGATGAAGCACTTGTGACAGAACAGCTGTATTCATCCATCAGAAATGGGAAGGAGGCTTGCTCCCTTTTAAACTGTTGTTATTGCTTCACCATTGTCTACCTCATTCTTCCTTGTCAGTTGAATAGGAATTTAAAAGCAGAACTGAATTTTTGTTATACATAAATATTTGTGGTAAGCAATGAGCCACAATAGTGTCACAACCAAAACACAGTTGCTCAACAGCACCTGTTAGTGCAATTACTTTGACACAAAACGTGTTCTTTACTGTTATCTACAGGGAAAACCAGCAGCAGCCTGTTACCCCACAGCTCCAGCTGGCAAAAAAAAAAAATTGTTACCTTGATCTTGCACGTTATTGTAGATGAAAATAACAGAATCCCAGTCACTAGACTTGTTTTTCACTTATTATGAAGTGCACGCTATACCCTGCAACCAGATAACCTTGAGAGACACCACTAAACCAAGCTSCAAATTCACAGATAAATATTTTCATGGAACCTGAGTATATGCATAAGGAAAAGCATACCTGAGGGGATATTTTCCCTGTACTTTTCCCCATGGCTGAATTAGTGCTAGAAGGAAGGCAGAGCCTTAACAACATCTGTATCTTCGAATATTCTCAGAAATCTGTCCACGGTCTGAAGTGAGACTTCAAAGTAATGGCTAAAGACAAAAGGACAACCATAAAATTAGGATTTGATCAGAAGTTTTGACAAGTTTCTCCTAAACTAATTGTCATTATAGAATGCACAGTTAGTTATATATTTAGGATTAAGGGTTATTTTAAAGAGGTTTGTGAAAAATAAATGAAGTGAGAAAGAGCATTCCAGGGAAGTTCTAATTCAGTGCAACAGGGCATGTAGTTTTGGTGGAAAAGGTGTACAGGACCATAAATTTACAAAAAAAAAAAAGACCATTTGACATTGGCCAGTGTGGAAGATCAAAAACACATCTTCTTAGCAGGTCTACGGGAACCTTGATCCATAGGAGTGAAATTGAGACATTTCCTGACAGTTAGAGCAGATTTTTATATATCTGTACATGAAGGAACACAAGCAAACAGTGTGGAAGGCATTGGCTGTCCATTTTTGATGTAGAAATGTAGCACAAGTATAATAATTTGGCTTTGAAGGTGTCTCCACAGTTTTGGCACAATTGCAGCAATGTATAGTGCCTTACAGTCTATATAGTCATGCTAAAGCCAACTTTGTTGGAATAAAAACACACAAATAAGTTGGAAAGCAAGCAGATGGAAGGATAAAAAAATTCGTCTATCTGTGAAATGAAAAAGAATGAAAGAGATGCTAAAGTTAACATGGACAGGTTTAATTATCAAGTTATGACTTCAGCGATGGACTGAATTATGGTCTGCAGAGAAAGGGCTCACCCTACAATTAAACAGAAATGCTGGGGCTCATACAGTTTAGATTGCATCCCACAAAAACAAGGAAAATAGAATGAAAGCTTTGTGCTGTGACAGATGTAAAGGAGACTTAACAAGAAATGGTATCTGAGAAGCCTGAAAGTGGACACACAAATCTATGTTTAACATCTATTCACAGCAGTGAGTAGCAGACCAAGAAAGGCCTCTAAGTTGGTCGTTAATTTTTCTATTTTTATCTATTCTTYTTACCTTTAAAATTGGAAAAGAAACTCAAAAAAGAAAAGAGCAAAATGCATATAAAAAAGACACATGAGGGGAAAAGATTGTTTTTTGCAATTTGCAAAGCTAACACTGTCTAACAACAGAAGGGACAAATGTAAAAAAACCCAAAAACATTGTGCACAATGCTAGCAAAAGGGCATTACTCAGAACCTGATATAAACAACTAACAACTCCCATCTGGCAACAAAAGATTTTGTGAGGGGAAATACACTGCAAGTCCTGCCGTTGATGACTGATGCCTGTTATGGGAAGTGCCTGCAGGATCCAACTGTGATTGCAGCAGAAGGAACGGAAATGACACGCTCCTGTCCAAAATAGTTTGGAGTCCGACAGCATTTGAGGCACTTCAATACAGTGCACAATCAAAAATGAAAAGTGAGTAAAAGTGGACAGTGGGTACTGAGTGGTTCAGCCAGCTGAGCTCTGAGGTTGCTCCTTGTACCTGACTGTTCCATGATGAAGCATCCATGATAGCATCAAACCTGACATCCCATTCAGAGGAGGGAAGAGGAGAACCAGGCAGCAATGKTTCAAACTGAAAAAACATGGGTGAAATATTTTGGAAAAAGAAAGTCAGAAACTAAAAATTTTAAGTTTTTTGCTAATTCCAGAAGAAGAAACAGTATTTCATCCAGAGCTTAAGCCACAGCCCAGCGAAGCCAAAAAGAGCCTTGCTGTGAGATTCAGTGGGCTTTGGCTCATGTCCATCAGCTAAATGCTTTCTCTGGCAAGTCTACAGAGTGATTCAGCCCCAAACTGCTCAGCACAGCCAATTTCAAAAGTCCTATTCATATTCTAAAAAAGGCAACTAGACGTCATTCCACAGTCCGAGTTGCACAATTGTCTCCAAACAGGTGGCAGAAACAACATCCGTCACTGCCTAGAAAAGCAGAGAAAGTCTGGAGTTTGTGCTAGAGCAAGATTTTAYATCTAACACTCCTACTACCGAACCAATGAGACATTTCCCATTGAGATTAATCTCTTTAAAGCACCGGTCAAGCTTTTTTTTRGGTTTTTTTCCCCCCTGATTTCACTGCAGAAAAAATATATTCATCTCTTCTTACAGGAAATCACATTAGCACGTGGGACTGATACAGCAAAAACTAGCAGGCATGGTAATATACTTCAGGTGCTTTCCATTATGACAGGAAGAAATTAAATTAACATTTTTAGGTAGAGGTATTAGTAATAGTATTTTGGATAAAAGAGATTGGAGTRCATCTCACAGAATAGGAATCTCTGTGGAAAAAAAAAAGCAGATTTTTTTATGGCTTACCTAGGAAGAATGCAAATCAATAGGCAAAAAAAAAAAACCATTTTTAGTCCATCGTTTGCAAACAGAGCTTTATAAAAATATTCTGTCTCCCCACAACTCTCAGGGAATTTAAGGGAAAGAAAGAAATTCATATTTTACCAGTCTGATGGAGGGGGGTGGGAAGACCAAAAAGTAACAGGAAAACATTTAAATAGTGACTATTTTTATTTCTATTATGACATTTYTTAAATTAAAAGGCTTGTTTGGACAAGGTACTAATGTCAATATTTTCCTACATTACATTTTTATTGTTCCTCTAAAAATAACATTTTTATGCTTTGCAACAATCCAGCTAACAAGGAAAAGATGTTGAAGATCCCAAAAATTTAATACAAGGTTTTGAATTCAGCTTAGAGTAGTTTCTCTTCTGCGGCAATCACTTCCCACTTCCCCTCTGTCTATTCTGATTTGGGCCAATGAAAAAAATTATCTGTTATTCAGATGTGTTGTTTGAACAATGACATGGGGTGAGCCCACAGGGTAGCGATGCTACAGGAAAATAGGCAATATCTTGGCAAACTCTCCTTTTATGAGAACACCACTGCTGAATTCCCTGTTGCCTTGTGTTTGCTGCAAACAGTTCGTGCAGGGTCAATGCCTGTGGCACACCTTCTCTCCCTTAGGGCAATATTACTCAGCAAATTACAACTGCTGAAAATACTGCAGGGCAATACACCATCAGCCCCAATGGGCCCATATCAAGAGTAAACCTTGGGTGGAATTGCAGCACAAGGTTGTTCTAGAAACTCCTTGATGGGATAAAGCAAAGAATTTAACTGACTTTCCAAAGAAATAGAAGGTCAAGTTTTCATCATCAGTGAAGAAAATTTAGCCATGGTTTATATCATCAAAATGTTCAGAGAGACTTCAGTAGGAACAGGATTTTAAGAGAACATGCACCAGTCTCCCTACGGACAACTTATTTCCTTTCGTATTGAACTTAATGTAGCAAGGTTTTTTGCTTCTCTTTTTTTTTTTTTTTTTTTTTTTTTTTTTTTTTTTTTTTTTTTTATAAAAAGTTTTGGGCAAAGACATAAGAAGGAAATCTCCATTCTGTAGTAATTGGTGCATGTAGGAACTTTTTGAGGAAGAAAAAATGAAATGCATCCCTACTGGCATTTCTCAACTGCAATTT